ACACACACACACACACACACACACACACACACACACACACACACACACACTCTGCCTTACTGAGTGCAGATCAGTGTCTAAGCAGCCACCTGCAGTCCCCCATTAGCTGGCAAGGAAATGGAATTGAAAAGATTCAGACCATGAAATGTGGCCAATAATGCCAGCTCTGATCTAAACCTGTACTGAATCTCAATGATGTAGTAACAACACTGACATATTCAGCTTGTGAAACCTTACCTGACACATCTCTCTAAGCTATGGATCTGTCCCTGCTGCCGAAGCTGGCTGAAGCTGTCACAGCTGTCCTCACTGATGCGGCTAATTTAATGCTGCGCATCAGACGGCAAACCAACAAAATCAGACGTGCTAATGTCGCAGCGGCAGCTTTATCCTTGGCATCATGGTTTTTATTAAGTATTGGTAGAGATTGTGTTTCCCTTTGAGTTTGTTTGACACCTTGCCTTGATGTGCAGGTGTGTTATGAAATGTTGACTCAACAGTGTCCTTAAGACACCGGTGTATTCTGATGTAGTTTTTTTATAGTGGCTATATAATACAGACCTCTCAAATATATTGTTTCATTAGCAAAGTTTGAAAAAGATTATAGCTTGGCAGTCATGAGAGTGAAGTAAACTGGTTAGGGAATGCAAAAATTAAGTAAAACTGATCACTATTCCTAAAATCCAAAAATGTGGCAAGCTAAGCTACACTACAGTCTACTCTTCACTTTGATTGGCTTAATATGGATAATTAACTTCATTGTAGGGCACTTTGTTACCCACTTTACCAAGTTCATGACAAGCAGATTTTAATGAAGTAGCGCAACGTTCACAGATCGCCTGTTTGACAAATTGTTGAATGCCCAAAATGTATCTGCATATTATCGAGCCTGAAACGGAAAACGCAACATTAATTTTACATGGTGATCTGCATCACTCGACAGGTGCATTGATCACTTGGTTTTGTAAACGTGCACCACTTTGAACTGTGGGAGGGCATCACCTCCTGTCCTCTCATGAAGGATGATTCAGTGGATCCCCTTCTGAAGGAAGTAGTTAAAATGAATCACAGAAGCACTTTTGCTTAGTTTTTTAAAGAATTTGACCAGCCAAGCAGGCATTTATGGGTCTCTTCACTTGATTCGGATCATTCTTAGCAATATATATTCAACCACAACCTCAGTATTGTGTCCCTCTGTCTTTAATAGATTGTCTCGTTAC